TATAGTAGCTAAATACTGGAAGCTGCCTATATACACAAATCAGTAAGTGTGAATATACCAAATTAAACAGCATCAAAAAAAATCACATGATCATCTCAATAGATGCAAAAAATCATTTTACAAAATCTAATCTCCATTTATAAGAACCCTGAAGAAAATAAATTTAGAAGGTCTTTCTCTAAATCTGATTTTTTTAAAAAAGCTTATGACAAACCAATGAATGGCCCTATGTCCATCAATAGATCAATGGAAAAACAAAATGTGGCATTTATACACAATAGAAAACCACTCGGCCTAAGATGTTTGAAATGCAGTGAGATAATGAGGCTAAGATTGATAGCCCAAATCGTTTGATAATAACAATAAGCTTTTCTTCTGGGTGGTTAACAACCTAAGTTTGCAGACCAAAATTAGAGAAAAAGGAGGGATACAAAGAAAGCCAACATTTTGGCCCTAGCCTTCTAAGGTCAATTAAGACTCAGGACATATGAGAACTTGTACTGTAACGTCATGTACCTCAATAGTGTCCCAAATTTTCTGATCAAGAAGATTATGGGGCCAAAGAGGAAAGTGATCGATGACATAGAGTGGGCCTAAGGAGAGTCACATGGGGAGAAGATACTCTCTCAGGCTTTCACAGAGAGCACATTGGCCAAGCAATGGCCGTGACTCATCCACATGGCTGACACTGATAAAGGTTCTACAATCTGAGGTACAGGATCTCAGGACAAATCCTGAGGGCATTTCACTGACCTTCTCAGACCAAAAAGCTACAACTCTTGTTGCATAGGTCCTGCTTTACCTTGGTCTTAACCATCCAGTAGAAAAGTATAAGACGAAATTATAAGAAATAAAGCCATGCTGTTAAGTTGAGCTGTGGGGGACTCAGGTCAATAATTTCTGACATTGCCAGTTAAACAGAAGACCCAATGCTATTATGGGCTACTGGACTCTTTTAGAATATTTTGCTGAGTTTACACACCTATAATATTCAATAACGGAACTTAGAAAAAATGGGGTATACAGATGAATGTCCATTTTGTATCTGTGTATTCAAAGTGGTTGGGATAGATATATAGTTATATTCTGTTAATGAATAGAATGATTTGTTCTAATGGTGTTTGTAAATCGGATCACAAGTCCGCATCTTGTACAGCAATTAACCACTAAGAAGAACATATGCAGTGTATTATTTGTTGAAAAATAAAAAAAAATAAATAAATAAAAAGAAAGAAAACCACTCGGCCATAAAGAAGGGTAAACGTTAGTTATCTGTAAGAAAATGGATGCACTTAGAATGCACATAATGTTAAGGGAAATAAATCAGACACATAAGCATAAAAGCTATCTGTTTTTCTCACATGAAAAATTCAGTTATAAATAAAGAACAAAAAAGAAACATGAGAGGAGAACAGAAAAAAGCTGTTCTAATCCAGCATGACACAATGCTTACCTTGATTTAATACAACTGTTTGTCTCGTGTGTTTTATATAATTTATGGCCTGTTAGTCTCATTGTTAATCTTATGTATTACAACTAACTATATAAGGCTTTCCTTTTAAGTAAATGAAACTGATGTTGGCAAATAAGACGGGGATTGAGACATTACAGACAAGTACCAATTTTTCACAGTGAATGTAATCACTATGCACTACAAATATATACTAATTTTAAAAATTACAGCGAGTCCTCTTCCAACCTATTCACCAAATAAGCACTGTATAACTTCTGGCTTTTCACAAAATCAAAATGACCATAAGAGATAAACAAAAATTTTAAGTGAGTTCAGGATATCACAGCAGTCACAACAGCACAAAGATACTCTTAAACAGGGGTTCTAGAACTGCTACAGAAAGTGGCAAGAAAAAATGGGATAAGTATTCAAAGAAAGAAGTATTTTTCAAGGGGATTTATGACTAGGTATCTATTATCACAATAACTGTTTTAAAATTCAAACATATACTGTATTTTTTCATCATATGTCACACGCTGGAAACACCAGGTAAGTGAACAAAATTATATTCCTCATAGACAACCTGGTCCACTGCTCTGCCTGCATTTACTTTTCTTCTATAATTTCTTTGCATAGCTCCTATAGTAAGCAGGATATTTTCTTCCAAAGACATTCACATTGTACTTTCCAGAACCTTACACAGCTAAAACAAATTAAAGTTCAAATAAAATTAATCTTCCTAACTGCCATTTAAATGAAGAGATTATTGTGGATCAACCCAGTTAGTCCAAAGTTATCACTTAAAAGAAAAAGAGAGCTGCAGAGTTGGTGTGGAGGTGAGCAGGGAAGACAGATACAAAGAAGTACAACACTATTGTCTTTGAAGAAGGAAAGAGGGATTCTTGGCCATGAAGAATATGGTGGCAGAAAAGCAAGAAAAGTGGTTCTCCCCTACAGCCTACACAGCACAATCAGAGTAGTACTTCAATTATCTAACTAGGCAAGTTTGTGGGTGAGGAAAGGAGAGAAGGAGGCATTTAGATAGATGGCAGAGAAAGGAAAGAAAGAGGTATATAGTTGAATACAGAAGGATCATAGCAGTTAAGCAACGGGGAGCAGACAGGCAAGCCAGGGCAGACCTTGAGCACACAGAGAAGCTGACCCAATCTGAGAACTACAAGCAGGAGTGTGAGGCAGGCAGAGACAAAATAGAGGACCAGAAAATATTAAGACAGACTTGCAACAGGTTCAACCTATTTCCAAAGTCACCTTAGAGACATTAGAGGATTCCTGATCTAAGAAAGTTTGATAGGCCCTGACAGTAACATACTCAAAAACTGTATCTACACAAAGGCAGATGACTTGTCCTGCACATATAAAAACTTATAGACTCTCAGAAATATTTTGCCTTCTCTTCTTTCTAGACATTGTTCAGCAAACTCTACTAATTACTTTACAGTTGTCAAGGCAACCTGTATTATAAAGAGACTTTAGTATAACTCTACCATACTTTCAAAACATGTAACACACTCACTGATTCAAAAATTATGAAATCCTTATGTACAATCTTCTGCACATTAGGCATACAGTACTAAATAAAACAAATGAAGGTCCCTGCCCTCATGGAGTACACATGCCAGTGAAGAACACTATTAAAATATAAATTAATATATATATTTTTTAATTATGATAAATGGTATGGAGGAAAATAAGGTAAAAATAGAAAAGAGGGAATGTATGAAGAATGCTACAATTTTAAATATGATAGTTGAGAACTGGGAGGAAAAAAAAGCACTGGGTATGAAGGTGCAGGCCTGTAATCCCAGATAGACAGGCGACTGAGGCAGAAAGACCACAAGTTCAAGTCCAGCCTGGGCAATTTAGTAAGACCCTGCTCGAAATGCTCGAAAAACAAAAAATTTAAAATAGACTGAGGTTAAAACTCAGTAGCAGAATGCTCACCTCGCAGGCCTTAGGTGTATTTCTCAGAACCACAAAGAATAGTACAGCACTTCCTTGGATGAGGGACAGGATAAGAATAAGAAAAAGAAGAGCAAACAGCTTGCTTATAACTGTCTCAGGCTTCAGAGGCACTATGTCAGGTACCTATCAATGTACAATTACATCCAGTACATCGCCACCATGAACTCTGGTGAGTCTAGTTTCTCGTGAATTCCAGGTTTCTAAAGCTTCAACCCCAAAGATCAGAGGATGCTCCTGGACAAATATGCCACACCCAGTGAATACTGCTCCATAGGGCTTTTAGTAAGAAAAGGTTAGTGTCAACTTTCTCAAGCCTTGGAGCTATATGCAGGATGAACCACATAAAAAGGACCATACCAAGGAGCTGCACAAGTGATGGGGGAAAGTAGGCCCTCGTCAGAGAAAGGGCCAGGTATGGAACAAGGAAAGCTCAGCTCACCTGTTCTCCAGGAGAAATAGCCGTAGAAAGAAAAGGGCAGAGAACAACTCCCAAGGATGGGCAGGAAAATAAAGGAATGACAGCAGACAGCTTAATGTGTAGGAAGTGGAAGGCAACACTCTCAGTGTGCAGTTATCTCTGTGCATTAAAGAACAGAAGCCCTTGACCTTGTCACCTTCTCAGAAAGAGTAACTTTTTCACCAGCAGTCATAATTTAAAGAAACTAATTTAAATAAATGCAAATAAAAGCATGAATGAGCAAAGATTTAGACCAAAAGGAAGGGACTTAGACCAAAGTATGAAAAGTAAGGGTACGTAATAGTTATTAGGCTTTTCTTCAGCTCAAAGCTTACAAGAGTAACATCATCTTAAAACACACATTTAGAGGGGAATTAAGATGTGTTACATAAATGAACCAACTCTCAACAAGGAACATAAACAGAGGTACTACACACATATACTAATAAAACACAACACAAAAGCAATACAATAAAAATATTATTAAAATGTACATTTCAGATAACTAATAATCAAAGCATGGTCAATATTATACGCAACATTTACAGTAAATTCATGGAAAATGTAGCCAAAGATGATAAATCATTTACCATCCCACAGTCTGCTCTGTCTAAAAAAGTCTTTCTTTGTTAATTTTATTGAGAAAGAAACATCAATGAGACAGTTTCAAAACAGGTCAGTAGGACAGTTACAATAATTAATACATGGCATATTGTTGTCTTCATAGTAGTTATTCATAGTTCAAGATGCAGACATGGTATCTTGTCTAAACACTGTTAGTACAAATCTTTCTTCTCATTGAAGAAAGAAAGTAGCTGTATATCTATCCTAATAAAAAAGATTTTAACCAAAGCATAGCAAGTAAATGAAATCCGTGTTTATTATGAAAAATGAGAATGTCAATCAAAGTTATAAATCCTGCAGCAAATAAAATTTGTGACAAGAAACATTTCAGAAAAAGCTATATTCAAACAGATTTAGTGGTTTTTGTGAATTTTTTCTTTCCCAAGAAAACATATAACTACTTTTAGACATTATATGTCTAGAAAAAAAATGAATTCATGGAGGATACTGAGTATTTTGTGAGCAAGTGTGACAGAAGCTTACCCAGTATTGATGGAAATGATTTCAATCAGTGGATTCTTCCTAATCTTTGGCAAATCCAAACGCGCTCCCCCCAACCGCTTTCCATTATCCTTCTTCTGACCCAGCAGTCTCACAGAGTGACCTTCAATAAAACACATAAATAGACATTAGCACAAGGCACACAATTCTTCTTTAATTCACTACTTTCAACAAATGTGTTAACATTGCATTTAACTTTTCTTTTAATGGCAGGAAAAAACAACCCAGAAGAAAGTGATCATTTAAAGCTAAGAAATACTGTGAAATAGAAAAACAGTCATGTTTAAAGCCTACAGTTAAAAGTGATTTGTTCACAGGTTTACACATTTCTATGGTACATTTCTGAGAGAAGTGCCCTCATCACATCAGTCCACAATGCTCCCTAGCACTGACCAGACACTTGTATTCCACAGGAAGGAGTTGGGCACCAGGTTTGCCTGCCACTAACTGGAGACATCATCATCATCATCATCATCATCATCATCATCATCATCAATCTTCTCAAAGCAAATAGCAAATCAAAGAAGAATGAAAGAGCTAAGATAAAATTGCACTTTACAATTGGATGAGGCGAGGGGGAGACGAGGGAACTAGGGATTGCATCCAGGGCCTTCTACCTCACTAACACATCTCCAGCCCTTTTGTAACTTTTTTTTTTTTTTTTTAAATATCGAAACAGAATCTTGCTAAGTTGCTGCACTGCCCAGGCCAGCCTCAAACTTGTGATTATTGTGCCTCGGTCTCCCAGAATGCTAGATTTACAGGCACAGGGTTGGAAATTAAAAAAAAAAAAAATTAAAGATCTGTTTACCTGAACTATAAATAGAAGGAAATTCAGCCACTTCTAAGAGCCATTAAACTTAGTAATCTTTTTAAAAAACATTTGAAGTATAGGGGTAGGGTATAGCTCAGTGGTACAGTATTTGCTTATGAGGCCCTGAGTTCAATCCCCAGCATGAGCCACACAACAATAACAAAGATTTTGAAGTAATTTCAGACATGCAGGAAAAATGAAAGGCAGTACAAAGAACTGTCAGTGATTTCAAATGAAGTCATACTATTTGGCAGGCATCACAACAAATCAGTTTTAAAGCATTTCTACCACTCCTCAAAATCCTCTCAAGTTTTAGTCCATCTCTGCTTCCATCTCAAACACAGCACATTTTCTTGATCCACTCACTAGATGATGGATATTTGTATTATTGACAATTATAACTACTACAAAAACACTGCTATGAACATTTCATACAAGTCTTTGTATGGGAATATATTTTCTTTTTTCTTCTTTTTGGACACAGTTCTGGGAGAAAAATTATTAGTGATATGGCTAATCTATATTTCATGTTCTAAGAAACAGATCTTTTGCAAAGTGATAGTACCATTTTATATTCCCACCTTTACCAGATATGTGATTTATAAATATTTTCTCTCCATTTATGGTGTATATTTTCACTTTCATGATGGTAAATTTTGAAAAATGAATGCTTTTCAATGTAATAAAGTAAAATTTACCAACTTTATCTTCTATGACTTTTGGTGTCACATCTAGGACCTTTTTACTGAAGTTTTCCTATTTTCTTCTAGGTGTCTTATTATCTTAGATCTTATATTTAGGTATAGGATCTACTTCTTTGTGTTTTGACTAAGGGTCTCAGTTCACTTTTTAACAGAGGTGCTGTCTCCATTCCACTTTGTTTCCTTTGTCATCTTTCGTGCTTCTGCTGTCACTCACACTAAGTTCTTTAATCATTGGTTTAGCTCAGTGTAAAATGAAAAATATGGTATAGAGTACTTTATATTTGTCCATATGAGTATCATCTCTAGCAATTTCCACTGTTCTTGAAATTCAGGTTATCAATCGGTACCACTTTCTTCCTGCCTGCAGAACTTTGTGTTCATAACTCCTACAAAGCCAATCATTTAGCAACAAATTCCTCATTCATCTGAGATTGATTTTATTTTGCTTTATTTGTAGAAGATGGATACACAATCATTACTTGCCTGCTTTTTCCTTTGATTATTCACCCTGCATTTGCCTGTGACCTTGTATTGCTCCTGATAAGATATAATAGTAACATTACTGTTGTTTCTCCAGACATAGGAAGTCCTTTCTTCTCAGGTGCTTCCATGATCTGTGCTGTGCCTTTCAAATGTTGGATTATGTCTAGTGTGGATCTTTGTGAAGAGCCTACATGGATTATTTGGTTCTTTACATGCTGAAACTCCCCATCAAGTCTGTGGCATTTTCAACCAATATTTTAAAATTTTGTGCATGTACATGTGTGCATGCTTCTCTCCTCCAAAGGTACCATTCTCACAACACACTGGCAATTTTAAGCAGGGTTCTCCAAAGATCCACAATTGATAGGATACATACAAATAGGAAAACCAGAGAAATTGCCTCACTTGATTTGGAAGCTATTCAATAAGTCCTACAGCAGGCCACCTGCAAGATGGTATATCTAAATTGCTACCAAATCTTCCCCCTAGTTCTTTGAAATACTTGTGTTCTAAATCAAAGTTCTGGACACTAAAAAGCAATCAGTATTGACTGGGTTTTTTTCTCATGAATATAGTCATACTTTGTTTCTTCACATATATCATAATAGAGTGTTGAACATTTCAGATAATACAGTACTCATGATACAAATTTCTCTCAATAGTGGCTGGAATTTTTGGGTAATAATATATCTAAACTAAATCTATGAGGCCTGTCCTCTCCACAATGATGGTGTTGATTTCCCTGCATAATACTTTTCCACACATGGGTTCCTAGGAGATCAGTCTGTATGGACATGACTTTTTTAAGTCAAAGACCATATTTACTCAAACACATTGAGTCAGTGAGATTTCCCACTCTGCTAATGGACCTATATGTGAGCCAGGGAGAGCACACAAAATTAAAACATTTTCAAGTCAGCCCAGCCTTTCACTCTCTCTCCTGACTTCCTCTGGATCCTCTGGGGTCTGCTCTGGATGTACATGCAGGCTCCCTGAGGGACAGAAGTGCATGTCTGGAACTGCTTCCCTTTCTGCTAGGCACTGGTACAAACCCCAGTCAACACAAGGTACATGGGGAGCTTTTCAAGGTTCCTATCACTATCTCACCTTCCTGAATTCACAGAGGAAATAAACCCCTTGCCAGTGCACCTATTCACTGCTTGTATCAAACAGTCCACCAAGACTCAAACAGAATTGTCTTCTCTGCTATATGACTTCAAAATCTTCACAATGACGGTTTCTGGTATCAACTGAATCATCTTGGTAGCAACAGAGAAGCTATTTGTTTTCACAGCCTGCCTCATCCTGGCTGAACAATTTTGCTCGCAGAGTTGAGAAATGGGAGCAGCCCCACCAGAAACACCATAGATTCTCACTGTTCTTAACCAGAGTACAGCTATCTTCATGAATAAATACTTCTCAATTAGTTGAATGCTTTTAGTTCATTTCCAACATTAAGGCATAATTTGCTTTTGACAATTTGTCCAGCTTTGTCATCACTTTTGGAGGAGATAATTTGTTGACTCGCTAATACAATCAATTCAAAGACAAAAATCAACTACAAATTTTAAAACAATACTTAAATTCAAATGTATAATTAGTATAGCTATAAGATTGTAACCAATTATATACCAGTTTCACCTCCTTCCAGTTCAGAAAGATACACTGCCTAAATAACTCCTGAATAGAGTGTCAGACCAGAAGTAATAAAATCATCAGTTATAGCCTTTTGGCACTGATCACTTTAATAAGAAACATTAAATACTTCATTCATTCTGAAATGTTTTCCTCTAATATAGAAACATACTTAAGAGTCAAGCAAGTGTTTGACAAACCAAATTCCACAGATTTTCAAGATAAGATGAACTCTTCAATCGAAAGTCCAGTTAATGAAAGAATGAGCAAGACTGACATGACAACATAATAGTTCTCTGAGAGATGCCAGAAGTTCAATGACATTTTACGTTCATACTCGCATGAGACAAATTTCATTATATCCTGCTGAGATTCCAGTAATATGCAGCTTGCACTACTAACATTTGAAAAATTATTCATCTTCACTATCTACATGCAAATGAAAGAACATATCTCTGCTTGATGATATGAGTTATTTTCCAATCCAATGATTCATTAAAATCTATCAGACCTAACAAAAATCTTCTTTTCTTTTAATTGAAAGATACAGCACACTAAAGACAGAGTAGGAAATAACATAAAAGCCACTTGTCATAGCTGGTCAAAGATGAAAAGGAAGTTCATCCATACAACAACTATTTCTTTAAAAAGAGACTAGTAAAAGAAAACTTTTGGGATATATCACATCTCAAAAATTCTGTCTCTAAAGGAACTGCTGTTTCAATTAGTTCCTTAAATCCATAGATCATATTACAAGAATACAGTTTGTGACTCCCTACCTACTGTATGTGTATCTATCAATATTGTTGCCTTTTAAAACAAACTAAAATTCAGAAGAATAAAGACAAAAGCTGAAAGAGGCTCCAATTAAAGATGATACCACTCTAAAAGGAAAAGGAAAAGAAATAAAGGCACAGAAGGAGCTGAAGCTGCTGAAACCCTTGAGTCCTAAAACATAAAAGAAAAACTTCTGGAGCAGACTCAGCTGACGCTGACTGCACTATACTTATCAAGGAATCATGAAGCTAGGACCACCCTCACCTCTTCCTTCTTTCATCACTAGTCTTTAACTACTGATCGCTACTATGGTTATAGAAAAACAGGAACAGGAATACTGATTTATGTGTGAATGTTCTCACCATTCCAGCTGGAGTTAAGGGAAAGGGAGGGGAGAAAGACATCAGGATGACAGAACTGACAAGAAAGGGAGAGTGGAAGTATCAGTTCCCATGACATTTCACATTCACGCAATAAGAAATTAAGGGAGGCAATAGTAACAGGAGCAGATGGGGAGAATGCTCAGTGTGATGAGATCAACTGATAATAATGAGACCACCAAGGAGATGGTGAGAAAGGTAAAAAGTGCCTACAATAGGGATATGTAATTTATATGCAAGATGAAAAAGAAAAGATGGCCTAATATGCAGAATGGGACATACTCAAAATTTATGTTCCTAAGACCTTTTA